AAGAAGTGCTTCAAAATAGGAAGTTTCGATTTATCTTTGGACGAACTTCTGGATCCTGATAACTGGCCCTCTAATTTATCTATACGTCCCTTTCACGATCAGTGATCAACAATATGCTACATATACCTCATCCGAAATCTCTGCTGATGGTAACTCAGGGTTTTTATCCGAGGAAAAACAAAGTAATAACTATTCATTAAAAATACTTCAATTGAATGCACAGTCAGTGACTAATAAAATTAACAAATTGCAAGTTCTCGCATCAGTAGAGAAACCGGACATTATTAGTATTGTTGAACACTGGTGTGATATTGAAAATATTGAGTTCATGTCTATACCTGGTTATGAAATTGTATCCAAATTTTGTCGCTCAACTCATATACATGGGGGAACGGCAATTTATGTTAAATCATCCAATGTATCGCGGAGCCTAAATTTTGGGAGATGGTCCGAGGAAATCCATTGCGAATGCAGTGGGATAAAATTAGTTATAGAGGACAGAAAGATTTGTATACTTAGTATTTATAGATCTCCAAACGGTAACTTTGATACGTTTTTGAATAAATTATTTTGCATATTAGAGAACAGTGTAGGCTATGCTGATGATATCTTTGTTTGTGGCGACTTGAATGTCAATTACCTAGAAAATACTACTGAAAAGATCAAATTAGATGAACTACTACTCAATTTCAATTTACAAGTGACATCTTTGACTCCTACTAGAGTTTTTACCAACCAGTCAGGGAAAACTTCATCTACTAAAGTCGATTACATACTAACAAACGTTGAGAACATGTTTTGCAAATCTAATGTTTATGAAGGTAGTTTCAGTGATCACAAAGTATTCACAGTTACTTATAATATGCCATTAGAAAAATCTAAACTTATTGAACAATCTTATGTTATTTATAGAGATGTATCAGAGCATAACATGAAACAACTCTCCTCGACATTGTCCAAAACCAGTTTTGATGTAATATATAACAAAACTGATATAGATGAGAGCTTTCTGGCCTTCATGAATATTATAAGTGATGCTATCGATAAATGTTGTCCGACCAAAAAACACAAATCGTCCACTAGTAACAAACATAACTGGATAACTCCTGAAGTGAAACAGGCCAGTCTTGATTTAAAAAGTATGCATTGGTTATGTAAAAATATAGGCAACGAAGATTCTCGTGCTGCATACAAAAAAGCGAAGAAAGACTATGAATCATTAATAAAAGCTTCAAAGTTGAATTTTTACGAAAATGTAATTAAGAATTCTAACAATAAAAATAGAACAGTTTGGAACCTAGTTAACAA